TGGTGAAGTGCCCTGGTTCACATTGAAAAAGAATAATAAATGCAAATCAAAATGGGAGAAGGAAATGCTTTCAACTAATAAAATCGTCATATATATATGAATCTGATTCTTTTTTGTGTAAGAATGCTTGTTTGCTAACACAACAGCAGGAGTTAATTAAGTGTTAGGTGAACTGTTCTGTTTGTGCACTCTAAAAACTGGAGGGGTCCATGTGGGGTTTGCAATGTATTGTCAGTCTTATCATTACTCTTGCTTTCTGAGACCTCCAACGCAAATGTGAGAAGCAATAGTGTGACAACTACCACCAGTAGTTTAATCCAAATTTCAAGGGGATACTTCCACGCCACCATAACATCTTCTCTAGGTGGTTTGGTAGGGATAGACCTATTAGCCGCATGCCAATCCCTAGCAATGTTAATAGGATTAGATGCCATAATCTGTCCTTAAGATTTATTTGCAGCCAATCTTTAAAGGGGAGGACGAAGGTGTGAGCAACTCAATGTAGGGTACCAATAGAGTTTCCAAACACAGAGAGATTTGTTGCAACTTCTGAACAAATGCTCTAAAGTTTCTGATGCTCCATGGCAAATAGGACAGTTTGCATTGGTCGTCATATTCTTGCAGATAGAGGCTTGCAGAATTGCAATGTATTTTCCCAAATCATCTAAAAAGTTTGGGACTAGTTAAGGCTTAATTCACTGGTTTAGCTGCAACTTTATTAAGTTAACCCCTTGATTAATCTACAAGCAGCTATGGGGCAGTTATGGAGGATCATATGAGTTTCAAATGACAACAAATTCAGATCATGAGCAAGAAGTAGAGAAAATGGGAATGAACCTTTCACCAATTGCGAACATAGTATATTTACTGGCAGGCGCACAGAAGTTTGAATTGCCCAAAGATGAGGTCAGAATTGCAGATTTTTTTTCCCTCTATAAATGTAGAATTTCCAAACCAAATAAATTTCCCACATATTATATTTGGTAGTTTAATGATTGATATTAATTCAAATTCATAAATTTTAAATTTCAAATTAAGTCAAATATGACAACAACATATTGCTAAATTGAAATCCAGTTTGTTTCGAAATTTACTCTTATCTCCCCATCTCTAACAAACATATAATCATACCCTTATCCGCTATCAGCAATAATCTTATCTCAATCTTGATTATCTTCTATATATAATTCATCACATTCAAGCATTTTGATGGTGGTAGAGGGTTTATTGTTCGCCTACAATACAATGCCTGAGATATCTATCATGTTTTGGTGTTTTCTTCACTTGCTGCCGTTGGTTTTTTATTGTTCTGAGGCAAATCAAAAGGTTGGAATTCATGAATTGAAGAGGGGAGATTTCTCTGTGAAGCTAACCAATTATGGTGCAATTGTGCTCTCTGTTGTTCTCCTGAGAAGAACGGTATGTGGGATTGTGACTGCGCAAGTTTTCAATAGTTTTATTTGGTGTTCAAATTTTGCATTCCATGTGTTTATAAAATCTGCATCTTATGTTCTCATTTGTATGATTTCTCTCATCTTATTTCAGGAAAACTAGACAACGTTGTTCTTGCATTCAAATCACTTAAAGACTACTAGGTCAGTTCATAAATATGTTTTATTTTCTTCGTGTTTCGATCAAATTAGAATGATTGCTATTGAATGTTAATTGAGTGGTTGCAAGTATTGTAGAATGATTCAGTCTACTTTGGAGCCATTGTTGGACGTGTTGCCAATAGAATTGGAAGTGCTCAATTTAGTTTAGATGGTGTTCACTACAAGTTGGTTGCAAATGAAGGTATGTTCATGATCATTTCATGTTACCTAATCTAAATTTCCAGGGCCAATGTTCTTCTCGGAATTTGAGTTAAATATTAGATATATAACATAATTTTCTTGTGATTATGTCAGGTGGCCTTAAAGGATTCAGTGATGTTGTATGGACAGTAAAAAGTTACATCAAAGATAGTCACATAACATTCACCTATAACAGCTTGGATGGTGAACAAGGTAAAACATGGACAACAATTAAGAATGACTGTGGATGTGACTAATGTAGATTGTGCAACACTAACAATGAAATCTCTGCTAATTGTTAATGCAGGCTTTCCTGGTGATCTTGTTGTATCAGTAACATACATGCTTATTGAGACAAATAAATTAGCTATCAAAATGGGAGCCAAAGCTCTTAACAAGGCCACTCCAGTGAACTTAGCCCACCACACCTACTGGAATCTCCGTGGCCACAATAGTGGCGACATCCTCTCGCACCATCTCCAGCTTTTCGGGTCCAACATCACACCCATTAATGACCAACTCATTCCCACTGGTGAAATTGCAACTGTGAAAGGAACACCTTATGATTTCCTTGAGCCCCAAGAAATTGGTAGCAAGATAAATGAGTTGCCTGATGGGTACGACATCAACTATGTGCTAGACCCTTCAAGTTACAAGCATTTGAGGAAGGCAGTACTGTTGCGTGACACCGAAAATTGGAATTGTGGACTAACATGCCAGAGCTGCAGTTCTATTCAAGTAACAAGTTGGACAATGTGAAGGGAAAAGATGGATTTGTATGCAAAAAACATGCTGCAGTCTGCTTGGAGACACAGGGGTTCCCAGATACTGTGAACCACACAAATTTTCCTTCATAAGTTGTGAAACCATGAGAGACTTATTTGCATGTTATGGTTTATAGATTTACTGCTGCCTAGAGCATTTTACATGTTATGGTTTATAGATTTATTTGCATATTTCATGTTTACTGCTTCTAGTAGTGCTCTTATATATATGTATATATAACTGGGGATTGTGCAGAGAAACATGCCCACTATGTTTGCTTAATACAATGCAATTATAAATAATTTTGTCATGTCATGGTGATTCTTCTCATTCCTCTACTACATGCTAGCAACTTCTTGCTTGCAACATTGCCTAATCCTTCATTGCTTATAACATTGGGTGATCCTGAGACTGCTACCTATAAACATCCCCTGTGCATCTTCAACCATCCATATGTTATAAACTGCATCCAAGCAGCCATTGCACCTAAAGTTCACAACATTATATGGAAAATAAACAAACTTATTGGCTATCACATCAAACTCAACAAGTGATAGAACCAAAGTTTAAATTTTCGACCATAGACAACTTCTTTTTTTATAATAAACCAAAGACAAATTTTCGACATCAATGTCACGCCTATCAAACATACCAGGTCGAAAGGAAAATTGCTCTACAAAATTTCCCTTTCCCATCATGGCAAACATGTTGAAACCTCAGTTTGAAATAACGGTTAACACAAACTTTACCCAAGTATATTTCTAACTATAGCCCATCGATTTTGTCCCCAAGATTTAACTTTGTTATGCGACAATGACAATTAACGAAAATGTTGGGAAATGATTCAATGAAAAACAACTATAAATTTGTAAAGGTGTTTGTGTCTGTGCACCCATGAGGTCAATGTTCATAAGCACAACAGCTGACTTAATAAGCCAAGCTTTGTTCAGGTAACAGTAGGTACACTAATACAACATTATGATGCATGTGATGCTTGTGACAAATTTAGGTCTACACTGACAACTGAAAGTCATTTGAAAATAATATTAAGAATAACCACAAAACAAAGCTGATACCTTTTACCCCCAGTATTTGCAATCTTGTTTTGATCACATCCAAGTATAAATCACCATACATAAAATTCTGAATTCGATTTTAAAGACTTACATACTATAAGCAAGGTACAATCTTTCAAGCCTTCGTAGAACATAACCTACATAGTGCAGACAAAATCATAAGTTTGAAACAAAACCATTCTACTAGAAATAAGAACTAGATCTTATTAAGGAAAGAGCAGCACAATAACGATAACTAAAGCATATTGAGGCCAAAAGCCTAACTGCCTTAGGATTCACCAATGACCAAAAGAGAGTATGTTTGATTTTTCAATTTTGGGACAAAACAAAACAATAAAGCAACTAGTGTGGGAAAATGCATGTTAAGAAGTTGCAATCCTATTTAAATCAATTTTGGCTATTAGGAGTTGCAAACCTAATTTCCCAGTGTTATGAAGCAATTCATGTAAATGCGAAAAGAAAGGGTGATGCATACAAACTATCACTATTCAATATACCATGAGACTGCCATATGAAAGAAAAATCAAACCCACCAATCTGAAAAAACATAATGGTCATGGTTCTTGTGTGTGCATATTGATGCCTGCCCGGGCATGCATGGATGAGGGTGGACAGGCAATGACCTCCAGTATTTTACAGTGAACTACTGGACTCATGCTGAAACTGGATTTCATGTAGCACAACCTCAAACTAAGCTATTCTTTTTAGTTACACCTGTATTCTTTTGAAATTGAATACCAAGTCTTGATAACGATGCCAATTATTCTTTTGAAATTGAACTGCTAATTAACTGTTTTGTGTAATCTGGATTTACCATTTATATTCTCTGAAAATCTGAAATCTGAGGACAATGTAATTTGTTTGTATATACTTCCTTTGCATCTGACACTTGATCAGTATTTGTACTAGTTTGGCAATAACTTCTACATGTTTAACAAATGACTCATTACTCCCTTGATTTACTTAAGAATTATTTGAAATTGGAGAAGAGGCTCGCCAAGCGTAAAGGGAAGGGCCGTCGAAAGGTTGAGGTTGAGATGCTTGTTGGAAAAGGGACGCTCCTTGCAAGGAAAACCATCTTTGTAGATGAGGCGTGGCAAGTCCGTTCAATCTTTGGTTTGCTTAAGGAAAACGACTGGAAGGGAGCTTTTGTTGTTGACGTGAAGCTGGATGCATACAACATCAATATTATCATCAGTGCTGCTAATTCTCGTCAACTGGCAGCTTATGCAGCCCCTCTACATTACGAGGAGTAGCATCACTTCTACATATTTAACAAATGGCACATTACTCCCTTGATTTACTTAAGAATTATTTGAAATTGGAGAAGAGGCTCGCCAAGCGTAAGGGGAAGGGCCGTCGAAAGGTTGAGGCTGAGATGCTTGTTGGAAAAGGGACGCTCCTTGCAAGGGAAACCATCTTTGTAGATGAGGCGTGGCAAGTCCGTGCAATCTTTGGTTTGCTTAAGGAAAACGACTGGAAGGGAGCTTTTGTTGTTGACGGGAAGCTGGATGCATACAACATCAATATTATCATCAATGCTGCTAATTCTCGTCAACTGACAACTTATGCAGCCCCTCCACATTACGAGGAGTAGCATCACTGCATCTATTTTGGGCTCGGTCGACCTGACCTGCTGTGAGGAAAATAAGAGTGTTATTTTGGAAATGGTAGCTGAAGCTGGTATCATCAATGTCTATCAAGGGCCCGCGAATCTCGATCCATTTCGTGCTTCATAATAAAGGGTTTGTTGCTTAAAGCCTTTATAACCATTTTATGTGGTGTAGCTATGGACCTGTT